CCTATATTAGGTGCACCTTAGTCTCCAGACTGATATCATTGCTCTTCAGTACTTTGGAGAGGTCTCTGACAGCAGACTTTCCCAATGCAATTCATCTCTTAATTTCCTTGCTGCTAGTACCAAGAGTGTTGATTGTAGAGCCAAGCAAACTGAAGCTGTCAACAACCTCAATCTCTTCATCATCCATCAAGATGCTGCCAATAGGTCCAGTGGTGAGAATTTATATTTCATTTAGTATAGGGGCTTTTTAAATATTTACTTTAATTTTTCTAACTATAAACTTGAACTATTCGGCATTTCTGATATAATAAGCACATTTTGTAAGCATAAAATATTAAAACATATTGAACTTTATCACTCGGTAGCAAATTAGAAAATTAAATATAAGTTCTCTTTATATTATTAATTATATCACCTTTGAATTACGGCTAAATTTTTATTTTAATAGAAACAATATGTTAGAATTTAAGGGGAAATCCAAATATTACTATGCAGGACAAAAAAGTACTCAAATTTGTACAATAGTTGAATGCATTAGCCTGGCTTTGAAGGATATAAAGCAGATATTTAATTAGTTCAAACAAATATGTACAATGCATACATATCTAAATAACACTTATAAAATACATTCAATCCACATTTGTTTGGTGTTTTTTTTTTCCAAATGAATGTATAATTCTATCTGTGCAGTTCACGTAGTAGCCAGCAGTCAAGTTAAGAAATAAGGGCACAAAGTATAACTATTTTGATTTGTATTTAAGTTTAAATTAATTAAAATAATAAAAGTTGTGGTGCTGGAGAAGAGTCTTGAACATACCATCAATCACCAAGAAAACAAATAGGTCTGTCTTAGAGAAGATGAAACCAAGTTTCTATTTGGAGGCTAGGATTTTGAAGCTTCATTTCACAGACGTTGGGCACATGAGCAGAAGGGACCAGTCCTTGGAGAAGGACATCATGCTCAGAAAGGTGGAGGAACAGCACAGGAGTTTTCAGATGTAATGGATTGATACAGTAACTAGGGCAATGGGGGTGGGTAGGTGTGTCTGAGTACAGTGATTGGCTCCGTACAGGTCAGACTTCAGAGCTGCTGTACATAGGATGGCACTGAGTCACAGGTGACTTGACGGCACACAACAATAACAAGCAAATTTCTTGGAAAGGAACAAAATGTACACTCATATAACCCTATAAATATTTTTTCTATGATAACATTACCTCAGATACTCTTATTATAATTTAAACAGATAAATAAACTTATGGTATAGAATACAGGCTCATGGATTAGACACGAATTAATTAAACTCTTGGTTACAGTTTATTACAGAAAAGGATATTGATAAATATTAGCTAGGAAAGAAACACAGTATAGACCAGGAGGACTCCAAATGTGCTACTTCTAGTTGAAACAATATTGTAATGAATCATGAAATTTTTGTAATTGTGCCATTATTTGCATTGTATGAAACAGAAAGGCTTCTAAGATCAGGTGTGTTACCTGTAAATTTTACGCTTACAAATATATGTTATATTAACTCCACATCCATTTAGTTGAAAATCATATGAACCAAGTATAACACAGTTGTATAAATTCTTTCCTGGATCTTCTATGCTGTAAGGGATAAAATAGAACAAATCCAGTAAATTTTTGTAGAAATACGTAAAACAATCATGTTTTACATTCATCAATAAAAGAATAACATTATAAAATAAAGATAATATTTTTCATTAAATATTAGTAATTTTTATGATTTCAGAGTATTTGTTTGTCCACTAGTATCTGTACCAATAGTTCTAGTGATTGATTAACATTATTTTCTACATTTCTGTTAATTCAATTTTGGAATACTATTCACTCATAAGTGTGTTAACAGTCCATGTTGTTGTTAATTTGTATTGCTTTCCATATTTTCATTCTTAGAGATAATATGAGTAAAATTTTGAAAGATCAAAGAAGTTTCTTAAAAAATGGAAGGAATGTATAGAGTGTCTGTACCAAAAAGAATTAGTCGACACTCAAATATTTCAGGAAGCACCATATGATCAAGATCCAATAGTAATGAAGGAAGATGTTCAAGCTTCACTGGAGGTATTAGCAAAAAATTAAAACCCAGTAATAAATAGGATAGACATGCTTCAACTAGTAGACGTTGCCCTGGACATGCTCAAAAGTCTGTACAGGAAATATAGAAGGCAGCTGCCTAGCCAACTGGAAGAGAGATCCATATTTGTTTCTATTCCCAAGAAAGATGATCCAACAGAATGTAAAAATTATTAAACAATAATATCACATACAAACAAGATAATCCTGAAGATCATCCCAGAACAGCTAGAACAGTACATTAACAAAGAACTCTGAGAAGTTTAAGCTGGTTTTAGAGAGGCCACAGCACCAGAGATATCATTGTTTTTGTTTGTTTGTTTTTATTGTATTATTTTTGTGTGTACCATCAAATCAGATCTGACTGGTACAGGAGGAGATTGCCCCCTCCCTCTCTAGCAGAGCATCTGGTGCATTTGAACCATGTACCTCTGGGATTGCAGTGCAGTATCTTGCCACTAGGCCACCAGAGCTCCCTCAGAGATATCATTGTTGATATCAGATGAGTACTGGCTGAAAGCAGAGAATGTCTGAAGAATATGTATTTGTTCTTTATTGATTATGTAAAATCATTTGTGAGAAGATTGGGAACCCCAGAACATTTAATTATAGTCATAGGAAACATTACCTAGACCAAGAAGCTATTGTTGGAACAGAGCAAAGGAATACTGCATGGTTTAAAATCAGGAGGGATGTGCATCAAGATTTTATTGTTTCTCCCTACCTATTCAATCTGTTGTTTTGTTCTGTACTATAGACACAGTACCAACCCATAGTTTACCATCCTTCCAGTGATATTTGCATTGTAGTAAATAGCACTAGAGTTTCTTTTTGATCTTTTCTCCATTGGATTAGCTAGTGGGTTTGAATCACATGCCTTGCAGCAAAATTCCTTATCACTAAGTCACCAGAGCTCCCTATTCAATCTGTATGCTGAGTAAATCATTTAAGAAGCTGATCTCTATGAAGAATATGACATCTACATCAGAGAAAGGCTTATCAACAACCTGCAATATGAAAATGAAACAATCTTGATTGCAGAAAGTGAACAGGATCCACAATCAACAAACACAGTACCAGCAGTGAGGGGATAATAAAACTATTGCATTGGGAAAGTCAACTTTCAAGCTCCTCTCCAAATTACTGAGGAACAATGCTGTCAGTTATAAGACTAAGGTGCACTCAATACATGTCTTTTCAGTCACTTGTTATATATCTGAAAACTGAACAATGAACAAGGATGAGAGAAGAAGAATGGATATCTTCGAGCTGTGCTGCTGAAGTACTGAACATCCCATGGACTGACAAAGGAACAGACAAGTCTTGAAGAAGGAATAACCAGAGTACTCCTTTGAGATAAAGATAGCCAAGCTCCCCGCCCCTGAGTACTTTGGACACACTGTTAGGAAAGCCTATTTCTTGGAAAAGAACATCATCCTTGGAAAGATTGAGGGTTGGTGAAAGAGAGGAAGACCGTACACCAGAAAGATTGATACACTGACTACACCAATAATAGGCTTAATATTTCAGATAGGATGACAACAGCACAGGGTAGGACAGGGTTCAGAACTTTTGTTCACAAGAGTTGTTAACTCAGTGAACATCTAACAATAACCACTGCATCTCTATAAATCAATAGAGCCTTATTTTCAGTACTATTTTTCTGATTTTTTTAATCTTCATTTATACAGAATTATTTAGGAAAACTTACATTTTAGTGTAACTTGTACCATTTATCCAGTGCCATATATCGTCAGGGCTTTCACGAGACAACCCAATCCATGAAGAAACTGGTGATATGAGCTTTATAAATGTCTATCAGAAAAAAAGGAAAGTTCTGTTTTTATAGTCATTATGAAGTCCTTTAAAACAGTCCTTTAAAAGCATATGTAATGTTTTCTTCTGCTCTGTAACAAGAAAACACTGCGTTCTAATACTGAAAATATATTAAAATTTAAATTCGCATTTTATAATGTCAAACACACATTATTTCTTTTTTATTAAAATACTAGTATTTAGTAATTTTTGTTATTTGCATGTTGTTATGTACCACTGAGTCAGAACCAACTCATAGTATTGATTCACAAGTGGGTTTTCAGACAAAATAAATAACAGAAGACGGCACTTCTCATCTCCCTTTCTGCTGTTGGTGGATTCTAACCATGTGTCTTTGGGATGGCAGTGTTGCTCCTTATCACTAGGTCACCAGAGCTCTCCTATAACTTTGGTGGTCGTTGTAGACTGTTGAGTCAGTACAGACCCATAGGTGACCCTGTAATGGGTTTTCAGAGGCAGTTAATCACAAGGGAGGAGATTGACCAGCCTTCACCCAAGAAGCAAGCAGAAGATAGATTTGAACCACATGCCTTTGGGATTGAAGCACTTCTTACCATTAGGACTTGATACATTTGAAAAAAAAAATAGCTTAGTAAAGATTATATAGGACACCAGAATGTAACATAGCACATATCTTTAATAAAGTGTACTTTTCTACCTTATTTCTTGAAGTTTGATTTTGTAGAGGAAATTAAAGGTCAATCATTGAGGATATAAACTCCATAGAATCCAAAACATTGGTTTTTCTAGACTCAAACTACTCTTTAATTAGACTTTTCATGTATTATCCAATTTTTTTGCTCATTGTTGTGTATCGTAGAGTCAGAATTGACCCATAGATGACCCTCTAGTGGGTTTTTTCAGAGACAGTTTAATCACGTTGGAGGTGACTGCCCATCCCTCTCCCGAAGAGCGGCTGGTGGCCTCAAACCGTGTGCCTTCAGAATTTCAGTGCAGCTTCTTGCCATTAGGCCACCAGAGCTTTTATATTAATACATGGTTTAATTTAGAAAGACAGTAAAGCACACACAGAGAAACACATAATAGAAGTGTCAGAAAATGGAAAGAAATCAGTATCTAGTTTTATATATGAAGAAAAATTAATTTTCAAATTTTGGGAACCTAAAAGAAATTATTAATAAAATAATTAATACTATGAAACTATTCAAAAAGAAAAAAAATGAGGAAAGCGTGTTCAAGGACCAGAATTGAAACAAAAAATTTGAAAGCAGAAATAGTAATATATAAAATAATATTTCCTTCTCATGAATTTTCTGATTCATATTCAGTAAATTAAGTGATAATATGGCACATTTGAAAATAAATGCAGTAATATATAAAAGTAATAATCCAGAATGAAAGTGATAATTGAGTATTGAGCATATTAAAAGGGGGAAAACCCCCCAAAACAAATAAAAAATTAACCTAACAAAGGAACGTAACACTTCTGTCTTAGACTTAGACTTAAAATGTTTGAACTGTGTTTTAAAAAGACAAGTAAAACTATCCCATAAGAAGTAAGATTTATTAGTCTCTATGTAGTGCAAATAGTTTCTAACTTAACAACTGGAGGTTTAAATCCAACCAGATGTATGTCAGAAGAAAGCCAGGTGACCAGTCAGCCATTAAACCCAAAGGCCAACTATTAAAAACTGCAGAAAATAGACCAAACAGACAAAGCAGAATGTTCATATCTTGAAATGAATGCAATAAATGCCACAGATCAATATTTGTAGACAAGAATGAATAGGGAAAAAAATTTTGAAATCTTTACCAAAACCAGACTAATATACCATTTAAAAAATAAAAGTAGAGAAAGTCTAATTGCAGTTACATATTCACTCTAATTCATTGCACTCTCATGAGGCAGAATAGAATTTCACCAGAGAGTTTCCAAGGCAGTAAATTGTTAGGGGGAAGAAAGCTTTTTGTTTTGAATTGCTGTGCTGTAGAATAATGTTGTGCTACTAGCCCAAAGGTAGAACTTTCTGATGGTTCAAACCAATCAGCAATTTCATGGGGGAAAAAAAATTTCCTTCCGAGGTATTTACATTCTCTGAAAACTCACTGGATGTTAAGTTTTAAGTCTGTTCCAACAAGAAGGTAATGAGCTTATTTAGTTAATACATTTTATATAAAGCCAGGATATTGGTTGAATGAAGCAAGAACAGCAATAAGACCAGAACTGATGGGGATGGGGTGGTGCTAGCATTTTCTATTAGTAGATCTGATACAAAACAACCCCAACATACTATATTGATTATTTTTTATTTATGCTTCTTGTTCAGAGTCAACAAGACCCAGGAAGGGTCTTTGTATTGAAAAGTCAGTTGTAATTACATTTTGGAGGAACACTCTTCTAAGTGATACAGCCCTCTTTTGTCAATGTACTGTACTGTGGTAACCTGGGATTGCTGTGATGTTAAACCTTGTGCCTTTGGGGTGTCAAATGGCATACCATTACTCATGGTGGACAGTGTTTAGTGGAGCTCCCAGTTTAAGACAGGTTTGGAAGCAGGAGTGGGAAATGCTTCTGGAAACTCTATGAACTTTGAGAAACAAGGATAGTGATAGTTTCTATGAATCGTGCTTGACTTGATGACAATCAACAACAACAACAGCAACAACAGCAGCAGCAGATGTGATTTACAATTTCAGGAGTCATTTCATTTTTTTTGAATTAACTTCACAATTTGTTACATTTGGATATTTATGTATAAAATAATAAATATAATGTGAAAAACCTATGGGTGGATCTTAAAAGCACAATATCACTCAACTAATTAAGACATTTAACCAACTCCTTTAGTATGAGTCTATCTATATTTTCCATCTTTCTCATTTCCATCCTGACAGGACCTACTTATAACAAATCCTTCTTCAGATTTTCGGGTCACTCTAATCACATGGAAAGACTTCATCCATTTTTCTCCCCAAAGAGCTACTGGCAAATTTCAGGATGGACTCATAGCTGACCCTCAAGCAGAGTTTTCAGAAGCAAGTAATTGCACAGAAGGATATTGCCCATCTTTCTCCTGGGAGCAGTAGCAGATTTTTGCCTTGGGTTAATGGAGCAATTTCTTACCACTTAAGTGACCAGAGCTCTCTTTAATAACAATAGGAAACATAGTATGTCTGTGTAATTTCTTGAGCACTAAATATCTGTTTTTGAATAAAATCTATTTTATATATACTTATTTTTGGATAACATACCTTTTTTGAAAATTTGTATAATTGAAATCTTACCCTCTCTTCTTCATTATCTATATGAAGTAGATTTGAATTTTTAGAGGCACAGGAAATCCGACTTGCATTCCAGGATTTTTTTTCGCTACTAATATGATAACAGTTGCTGGAATAGTAAAACCATTCATCTGGGCAATGACCACAATTATGAGCTGAAAAATGTTATAAATTAATATCAAGAAACAATTTGCATTACAATTAAATACTATCTGACATATAGGCATAATCACATTAGATAAAAACATGAAATTTTACATATGTAAATATGTAAAAATATAATACAAGCAAAGAAAAGCTATAAGCAAAATATGTCCTGAAAATCATTGGACACAAATTCATTAGAACATTGAAATTACATCTTTCTCATAACTTATTTGAATGTCTTACAACTTTCTTATAACTGCTGTTTTTAGATACTGTGTAGTAAATTCTGAACTCATAGCTAGAACATGTAACACAACAAAACTTCCTGAAAAGATTTTCTACACTGTAATCTGTATAAGAACAGAAAGAAATACGAATCAATTATAAAAAAGAGAATTATTATTAGAGACAAAGTGTAATCTAATGCATGAGAACTTTAAAAATCATTGCATACCTGTCTGAGTTCTTGTTGTATCTGAATTGTTCTGTATCAGCATTTCCTTAGCTATAAAATTAATTCGTACTGAAATTAGTAATTCTTTAATAACTCCTAATAATTTTAGTTTACTAGTTTTAATTTTGAAAAGTCATTTATCATCATAAATTGTATACTAAATGTAATTTACCGATAAATAGTAAAGATTTGGGGAAATTTGTAACATTGTAATTGACACATTTTACTATTTCTACAATAATTGACTTTAGTTTCTCAGTGCACACTTTGAAGAGTAGCAAACATGCAAATATGTATTGTTGTTGTTGTTGTTATCATGTGCCATTGAGTCACTTGCGACTCATAGTGACCCTATGTACAACAGCCCTAAACTCTGCCCTACCTGTGCCAATCTCACCATCCCTGACACACCTACCCCATTACCCCAGTCACTGAATCAACCCATCTCATTGAGGGTCTTCCTCTCCTGTGCTGTTGCTCCACCCGCCCGAGCAAGAAATCCCTCTCCAAGGACTGGTCCCTCCTTGCAACATGTCCATAGTATGTCAGATGAACTTCAGAATCCTTGCCTCCAAGGAGCAGACCGTCTTCACCCTCTCCAGGAAAAACCTGTTAGTTTTCTTAGCAGATCATGGTGTATTCAATATTCTTCTCCAACACAACAGCTCAAAGGCATCCGTTCTCCTTGTATCAACCCTAGTCATTGTCCAGCTCTCTGATATATAGCAAGTGATTGCAAAGACCATGGTATGTATCAGGCGCACCTTAATATAGATACATACACTATAGATATGTGGATGTGTATACACACATTTAAAATTAAAACCAACAATATGTATATGCATGGATAATTAAATAGAAATAGAGAGCCTAGTGGTAAGAAGAAAGCTCTGCTGACCTAGTGGCAAGAAGCTGCAATCCCAAAGGCAAAGGTTTGAGGTCACCAGTCACTCTGGGAGAAAAATGGGCAATCTCCTCAGTCTCCTCCTGTGTGATTAAGTGACTCTGAAAACTTGCCAGAGGGTCAGATATGGATTGGTTCTGACTAAACAATAAACAACAATAACAGTGGTGAGAAACTGTCTTGTATTCCCAATGTTTCTAATCCAAGAGCTGTCGAGCAGGAGAAGGATGAGGAATTACTTCCTGTGCAATTTATTGTCTCTGAAAACCTGCTGAAGGGTCAGTTATGAGTTGATTTTGACGCAGCGGCACACAACAAATATATGTGTGTATGCGCGCGCGCTCACGTATGTCTGTTTCTTCGTATAGATAAAGAGACATAGAGATGTAGATACATTATCATTAAACAAATAAGATCTTTCTTTTATTGCTTTGAAAAATAAAAAGCTACTTTGTAACATGTATTCCACACTGATGAGTCATTCCTTTTTTGCCAAGTCCTAAAAGAAATTGACAAGCACATATAACAAATGCACATATTAACATATACATGTGTTTGTCTACTCTTAATGAGTATATAGGGAAAATTTCTAATTCATGAAAAGAATAGTCTGTAATAATATTTCCAAAATTTATGACGAATAATAACTATACCTGTCATGGTTATTATACCGGCCATCAAGACAATGCAGATGATTCCTAGGACCCCAGCAACAAGCTTTCCTGAAGGTAATGGGAGATATATGAATAGTGAGAATTTGAAACACTGAGGAAAGATATATACACTCATTAGTTAGAATGACTACATGTAAGAGAACCCAAAGGTACTGGATGACATATAAACAGCAAGAGGCATATTATGTGTGTTTTCTTTCACAATTTTCGACTCAGAAAAACACCATAGCATTTAAAATAAAATAATAGTCCATAAATTACACATGAAGAGCACAAACTTAAACATCCTGAATAAAATGAACCTTCAAATTTTGTAATATAGCTGTATTTCAAGTTCTTTCTTGAAAAATGAAAACTAATAAGCATATATTTTTGAACTATCATTGTCCTAAGTTTTTGTTTTTATTATCCCCCCCGTGAAAGTATATTAAACATTAAATAAATATATTACCTTTGCAGAAGAGATTACTGCCATTATTTTGAATAATCTGAGATGCGGTGTGAAGGTTTAATTCCACATAAATTAATCCTTGCTCAGTAATTGAAATGGAGCTATCAGCATCCTTAAGTTCGTTTTTTTGCCTTTTTGGATTCTTTACCAGGTTCAGTTCTGTGTAGGTTACTGTTTGATTACTCATCTCTGCCTCTGAGAACTGTCAAAGACTATGCTCTATGGTAAACTGTGTTTAAGAAGGAAGTTATAAGCCTTGTGACAAGATCAAAGTATGTGGGGAGGGAGGATAAGTATCAGTCTTCATTTTGCAGTTTTTAATATGAAGTTTTGGTTTTAACTTATGTGAAACTTGCATAAGCATAACAAAATGGAATAAGGAAGTTTTCGAGATTTGATAAATCTGTATTTGAGAAAATATTATTGGTAAGAGTAATAATAAAAAGAGTAAGTTATTAAGAATAAAGGGGTCCATTTATATAAGAATATTCTTCCTTCCATTGTTGGTGCTGGAAATGTCCGACACAGGATGCTCTTCAGAAGTGAGGATGTCAGATTTTGCCTGCATACTTTGTATCTGCTGTCAGGGGGACTCAGCCATGGGAGGAAGACATCAATCTCAATAAAGTGTGGGAAAAAAGAGGAAGAGCCTTAATGAGCTTATTTGATGCTGTGGTTGACACAATGAGTTCAAACATCAATGACTATGCCTATGGCAGTGAATTTTACTGTTTTGTCCTCTTGTACACAAACAACATCACGATCAAAGTAGAAAGGATTGATGTTGTCAATGATTTAATGTCATTTTATTGGATCCACGATCAACACCTATGAAAGCTGTTGTTGTTAGGTGTCATCAAGTTCAGTATGACTAATAGTGACCCAGTAAACAAAAGATCTGAAACCTGTTCTGTGCCATCCTCACACTTCCTGACATACAAGAGCCTATTGAAGCAGTCATCATGTCAATCCACCTGGCTGAGGGATTTCCTCTCCTTCACTGATCCTCTACTCTTCCCAGAATCATGTCCTTTTCCAAGGAAGCACCTCGTAGCAACATGTACAAAGTATGTGAGGTGAAGCCTTCATCATTCTTGCTTCCAAAGAGCACTCTAGTTGCATCCTCTCTAGGACATAGCTGTTTGTGCTCTTGGTCATCTGTGGGATGATCGATGCTCTTCTCTATAAAGTGCTACCTATGAAAGCAGCAGTCAAGAAATCAAGACATACTGCTTTGGGCAAATGTACTATAAAAGACTTACTTATAATACTAAAGAATAAGGAAGCCAAATTAAAGAGTAAGGTGATACTGACCCAAGCCAGAGTATATTCAACTGTTTCACATACATGTGAAAGGTGAAAAAATGAAGACAGAAGACCAAATAAGAATCAATCCCTTTGAATTATCATGGGGAAAGAATATTGAATATAGGGTGGACTGCAAAAAGAACAAATGTGTCTTAAAGGAAGTGCAGTCAAGGTACAGCTTAGAGGCAAAGATTCTGAAATGTCACGTCATATTTTAGACAAGTAATGAAGAGGGAACAGTCATTTAAAAGGGACATTATGCTTCGTATGGTGTCAGTAGAGGGGAGATATACCTGGAAGGTGATGTAATGACTACTCTAAATGGGTTTTTCTTCTTGTTGTTGTTGACTGCCTTCAGGTCAAGCACAACTCGTAGCTACCCTATGAACAAAAAGCCTGCCCCTCTACAATTATTGGCATTTATCAAAGTTCATAGAGTTTCTGGAGGCATGTTGTTTAGGAAGTGGATGTCACTCCTGCTTCCAATAAATGGGCTAAAGGTACCAGATCTTTTGAGTTGGGTTAGAATTGTGCTATGATTTTATCTGTTCTATGTAGGATTGGTATGAAGTGGAGTAGATTTCAAAGCACTGAACAAAGTTTCTAAACTATGTGGTGAAAGTAAAATTTATTAGCTAGAATAGTCAAATAAATAATTAATTATAAAACACTATCTATCCAAGCTTTATTAATTTTGCTTCTATAGAGAACTCTAATGATTGTCTCAGACAATCTTTCTGCTACTCCGTCTGGCATCAGTAACAGTATCCATCATTTCATTTCTTCTTCTGAATATAATTTCGAATTCTAGTAGTTGCATGTTAGGAACCACCCTAATTATTTTTAATTACTTTCAGTAAAATTTTTCTTATGTATTATGTTAATTGAGTGGCATCCACTTCCTAAATTACATGCCTCTGCAAACTCTATGAACTTTGATAAATGTCGATAGTTGTACAGGGGCTTCAAGACTTTTGTTTATAGAGTCACTATAAGTTGTGTTCATCTAAAAAGCAGTCAACAACAACATCATATTAATTATACTATTTAAAAATGTCTACATTTTTGGGGTCATATTCCTTTGGAATAAGTATAAATATGGAACTCTTTCAGTAGGTTGACTACATATCAATCTTTGGAATGTCTAGATTTAGAAATTTCAGACTAGAAAGAACTTTCAGAATTCATCTACTTGTATGAAAATAGTACAGAATTTTAGAGTTTTACTCTATTTTACAAAGATAACACCAATATTGAGGTAGAAAAGATTCATATTATCAAGTATCTTATTTCATTTTACTTTGATCCACTGTCAATACAGTCAGGAATCAAGACATTGACCAGATGTGCTATAATAATGTCCTGTAAATTTTCACTGATATTATACTAATTCCTGGAGGTTTATTTTCATGAGTACCCACAGTGCTTGAAAATCTTTATTTACTACTATCAGTTCTGCAACATGCTGAAAAACTTAAGCCAATTCTTTTTGGTACAGTGGGTCTATATATATTACTTTTATCATCTTCTGAATTTTACTACATCATTCACTATTTTGACCACAGTATCTTTCAAAATTACAACTTAGACTTAATATTTTTCTTTTGTATGCACAGTTTAAGATGCATACTCATCTTCTTTCTTAGTTTTCATACTCCAAGTGTTTTACATTTAACTCTAGTTCTTTACTCTGTATTCTTCACAAGCTGTCCTGTGGGATATTCTATTCCTTTCTTCTTTCATTAAAATGTACTGGAGGTACTCTATTTTCATACCCTATGTTCAGAGTCTCTTCAGTCATCCAATTTGACCTTTTATTTTACCTGTTTTTTAATGACATTTTGCTTTCTTCATATATATCATTCTAGATATCATATCTATACATATTGATAACATTCTAGAATTCATCTATTCTTGATCATTAGTTTTCAGCATCAGACCTATTCTTAGTCAGATCTTAATCACTCAACTTTTTAAAATTTGACTCTTATGAACTTGGATCTCAAATATGCCTTCTCTGTTCAACTGTTTTTACTTTATTCTGTACTGACTGATAATATTTTCTCTTGTCTATTTACACAAATATATTATATTTGATCAGATACATTTTAATGGTTTTTTTCAGATGCTATTAATCAGGAAGGAGAGTTAGGGTTCGTGAAAGACTTTTTCTAAATCAATTATTAGGGTTGTATGTGTCTTTTTCTTTGCTTTGTTAATGGGATAAATTATCTTGATTGCTTATCTTATATTGACCTTTCTTTGTATATTTATTATTAATTCCACTCAGTCACCGGGTTGTGACAAGTAATCTGGAGAATAACTGCCTGACTACCTGACTAGAAGATATCCATGTGTATTCCCATTCCATAAAAGGTGACCCGAGAGTTGCTGTTGTTGTTGTTATGTGCTATCAAGTTGCATGCGACTCATAGCGACCCTATGTACAACAGCCCTAAAACCTGCTCTATACTGTGCCAATATAACTGTCTCAGACACACCTACCCTCATTAGCCCAGTCACTGACTCAATCCTCATAGGGGGTCTTCCTCTCCTGCGCTGTTCCTCCACCCTCCCAAGTATGACTTCCTTCTCCAAGGTCTGGTCCCTCCTTGCAACATGACCAAAGTATGTGAAATGAAGCTTCAGGATCCTTGTCTCCAAGGAGCAGCCTGGTTTAACTCTCTCCAGAATGAACCTGTTCATTTTCTTAGAAGTCCATGCTCTTCTCCAA